CCGCTCCCCGCAGCAGCCCACCCTGACGCCGGGGCACACGGCTGCGCCGTGGGGAGCTGGGACACTGCATGCAGCTGGAGGCACCCGCAAAGGGTGCACTGGGATGTGTGGAAAAGGCACCCAGAGCCTCACATGAGAGGGGAGGATGGAGATGTGCTGGGAGCTGTGAGGATGCGGGAGGGTAGAATCGCAGGGTAGGAGCGGGCACCCTTCCAGCGACTCCTGGCTCTCAGCTGACGTGGCCAGCCCCAGCCGAGGTGTCCCAGTGCCAGGGGTGATGGGTATAACACCGAGCAGGACACCGAGACTCCAGGCACTGTCTGTTGCTGTCTTCTCCCCGCTCTCTGCTGGCCTGGCTATGGTTTGCCCCTCGATGGCAGGGGTGATGGTGGCGGGGACGTCCTCACTGAGCCCCAGGTGCTTGCACTAACACACGACCTGCTTTGGCCTCGGCTTGCCGGGTGGCACCTTCTCTCCCTCCCTCCATCCCTCTCTCTCTCCATCCCTCCCTCCATCCCACCCAGCTCAGGGATGAACCCAAACCTCTCTGTGCACCCACAGCTGCGAGGAACCGTGCAGCCCGCGGCAGGCTTCAACGACGACGGGGACGCACAGGTGCTGAGGAAGGCGATGAAGGGCCTGGGTAAGTGGGGACCGTGCACCCAGCCCCTTCCTGCTGCTCCTCAGCAGCTCCTGGGGCAGAAAACCCACCCTGGTGCACGCAGGGAGGGGGAAAAGAGCCAGTTGTGGAGCCCTGGGAGCTCCCTCTTCCCCATCTCCCATTTACGGGGGGGCAATGATGTGCCCGCAGTTAGGGGTGACATGGTGTGGCTCTGCTGGCCCCCTCAGCTCTCCCCAGCATCACTGCTGTCCTTTCAGGCACGGACGAAGGGGCCATCATCGACGTGGTGACGCAGAGGAGCAACGCCCAGAGGCAGCAGATCCTAAAGGCTTACAAAGCTCACTACGGCAGGGTACGCCGGCCCCGCTCCCGCCCCGCTCCTTCCCTCTGCCCGCATCCTGCCCCTTCCCACACGGAGAAATCCCACCCGGGGAGCAGCGGGCAGCCAGGGCACCCCGATTTGCCCCAGCATGACTCTCTGCAGTGATGGGGCAAGGG